TATCTATTTTTTTTATTAAGTCTTAAGGTTTGTAAAGCAATGTTTCTCTCATGCCTTTTTTTTTTTCACATCTATCATGCAAAGTAATTTTAAGATTAAAAATACTTTTATGCATCAGAAAATTTTGAAATTTCACATGCAAAATCTTTATAATGTCCGGATAGTTAGCAAATATTTCATAAGAAAAACTTTATATTTTATCTGTTCTTTTCAGTAATTAATATCTGTATAAGATTGGTAAATTTGACCAATCTCGCAAACACCATAAAAAATTAGGAAATAAACATAAATTATGCTTCTTTCACTCTAGAATGAACACAGGTTATAACACGAAAACATAAATGTTTAGACTAAATAGCTTAAATCCCATAACATTATACATTTATTATATTGACCTTACACCCGTGCCTAGCTAACAATACAGAAGTTACAACGACGAGGCTCATGTGCACTCGTGTTACCGTATCAAATAATGTAAAGGTGACCTTTGGTCTGTACAAAGAAAGTTGCCTTTGCTGTATTTTAGTAGACTAGTATTTTGTAAAATACAGTCACATTTGAATTATTATACCTTGTATATGTATATAGATTATTGCTATTTTGAAATAAGTTCTTAAACATATTTTTCCTAAAGCACAGAACAGTAAATAAAGAAGTAAAACAAACAATTATCTCTTCTGGTCAACTTTAAATTACTGTTATTTAAATTAATGACCTGCTGAAAGTTCAGTTTAATTTGTGTCCGACTCACTCAAGCAGGACTTGTAGTATGTGTTGATTTTATTTAGAGTTCATATTTTGAATAAATTTTGGTCTTTGTTAAAGTTGCCTAAACTTTTATGCACTGCTGGCATCATAAAGTTAATATTTCTATGCTAATTAGATAATCTTAAATTGTTAGATATTCAATAACATACATAAAGTGATTGTTCTTTAAACAATGACAGACTATTACTTCATGCTTTGAAAATATGTCAAAATATAAGTGACAAAAAATGTCTCATATCTGCACTATTGACAGGTATTTCGTGAAGTGACCGATCAGTAGGAAAGTAGGCACATAGCGTTTTATAATTCACGGACCATATGATTATGGCATGCAAGAGCTTGATTTAAACTTACTAAAAGATATATCAACTTTGATCTGGAGTATCATAATAATTCTAATTCTGAACTTTTTTTTGCATATTTTTAGCTTGTTACAGAATATTTTTCTACATGTGTAATGAATAGGTTACTGATTTTTATATTGTTTCCATGTTAAAGGCTTGTTGGGGTAGTATACGGTAAGGCTGAATTATTTTACAAAATTTACAATAACTAAAAATGTTATGGTAATCATAATCTAGTTTTCTAAATTCCTCTTGCAATAGTTAGACAGTTGAAAAATATTACATCTAAAAGTAAAAATTTTTGTTTTAGTCCTAAAGCCCACACTGCAAGCTCCATTATTCTTAGAGGGGCCAATGACTTCTTCGTAGATGAAATGGAAAGGTCTATTCATGATTCCTTGTGCGTGGTGAAACGTGTGATGGAGTCAAAGACTGTTGTTGCTGGTGGAGGAGCTGTTGAGACTGCTTTATCAATTTTTCTTGAGAACTTTGCTACCTCACTAGTAAGTTGAGCCAGTTTTATAAAAGTAAAGTTATTAATATTAAAGAACTATTCTTTGTTTACTCTGTAGGACTTTTTTCTAGCTAGAAGCTGATTTATTATTTTGTAACCAAAGTTTTACTGATTATTATTTTATGTAATATGTTATTGAGCACATTTAATTTCCATTTGTTTGAAATTTGTCAGTTTTGCCATTTGTGAACTGTTTCACTGTTGAAAATGTCTATAGAAAACATCTTGTGGTCTACTTGTAAAGCTGATAAGTTTTTCCATTTATCTTAGAGCTCTCGGGAACAATTAGCAATAGCAGAATTTGCTAAATCCCTTCTGGTGATCCCTAAAACTCTGACAGTGAATGCTGCTAAAGATGCTTCTGATCTGGTGGCAAAACTACGAGCCTATCACAACAGTTCACAGACAAAGTCTGAACATGCGCACTTAAAGTGGTAATTTATTCTTTTGTTTTCATCATTTTGCATTTACTGGGGATTAAGTGGAACCAGAAAGATTTTTTTTTGTCTGTTTGTATAATGTAGTGTAACGCATTAAAATTTTCTTTATGCGTGTACAACAGTAACTTACAGAAGTGATATTGTTGTGAATATTCAACGTAAATCTGTGAATGAAATATGATGTTAAAGCCACTTGTTCAACTAATTGTTATTAGAAATTGAATGTTTCAACACTTCTGTAACCAAGTATGCCATATCCAGCTCGCTGAGGATCATACATGTGACATATGTTCACTGACTGGCTGAGAACAAGTACTGTTGCAGAACATTGTATTAGCATTACTTTTCTTGCAAATATTATATAGCACTGCAAGAACTAAACAAAATAAACAATGTACAGGTATTCAGTTGTGTAAATACCATTGTAACGACACTGCAGAACCAATAATAAATACTCATGTAGTTGTTCTTCATTACCCATTCAAGCCGTCTCCAGCTATAAGTGGTACTTGGTTTGTTAAATACAGCTCTTTTCTTGTGAGAGTTGGACTTTCTACTAGATGAACTTTTAATATATATCTATAGAAAACTTCTTGCTATATTAATTGTGTAATATATGTATATTAATGTCAGTATCTCCTTCAACAGGATGGGTTTGGACCTATTTGAGGGTTCTGTAAGAGACAACAAGAAGGCAGGAGTCTTGGAACCTGCTGTTTCTAAGATCAAGTCTCTCAAGTTTGCAACGGAGGCTGCCATCACTATCCTTCGGATTGATGATCTCATCAAACTGAATCCAGAAAAGAAAGAAGACAGACATTATGATAATTAATGCATCATTGTATAGGTAGCTTAAATTGAACCATGCTAACAGAAAAACTTTCTAAGAACACTAACCTTAACTCTATTGAACAATAGATATTGTGGCTGCTCACTACCTACAAAAAATAATTTCCTTGCTTTAAGAGACTGTACAGTGAAGCTGTTCAGCTGATTTTATCTTCTAAACTCTGATGATGAAAAACCAAGATGATGTCATTATGCAAAATCAAAAATCTAAGATATATTTTATAGTTTACTTCAGCTAAGAGTTTAATTTGTATCCAATAGTAATGAAACTTGAATTTTGTTTAAGCTTTACCATTAGATATTTTTGTAATGCTTCATTCCGGTTGTCTTTCTCCAAAAGCTGTCATGTACGAAAGTCATTACAGAATCTGAATTACGTTTCATTTGTAGGAACTTGGAGGTGTTTTTTTTTTTTGTCCTCTGCTTGCACATAAACTACCTGTACCCTGTGTGGTGTACTAAAAATAATTTTGTATGATTTTTTATACCTTTCAAATAGCTCATAATCTAGTTAGAACCTTGAGTAATGCGCTAGCATTGTCATGGAGCATTTTGAGAGCATTTCATCAGTGGTTTTATTTGTTGGATTTGCATTCTTATTTAATCCATTTTAAAGACGTCTCACTAGAACCTGCAAATGTCGTAGTTTTTTGATTGTACTAATATAATACACACTGAAATAAAAAGTTTCTCTTTTTGTTGCTTTGTTTATTTTTAAGCACATTTAAAAAGAATATTAGTGCAACTACACTTAAGTAGCAAAATGGCTGATCATTTGTATGCACTAACTGTTTTGTACCTTACGTTGTCCAATTAGTGACAGTGTTGTTTGGAATAAACAGTCAAGTACTATCCTGTCATTACATATTTTTTTGATAATTTGTTTTTGTATTTTCACGTCCTATACAAGTAAAAAACTGCGAGGTGGTGTTATGATTTTAAACACCAGATTGAACTATTTTTATAATTTTCCTTTTTTTTGTACTAAACAAATACCGTATTAGTATCTGCATCACTAAAACAGGATGTTATCATACATGAAGTTCAGATATAGATTTTACGATGATTATTCACTAAAAACTGGTGACATTGATAAATTTAAGGCCAAAAAAATAACTAACTAATGGTAGTTGTTAGGTAAAACTGCAACTTTAGCGAAATAGAAAAAACAAACTACTGTGTAACTGGATAAATTATTTTCAGCCTGGTGGTTAGGACGTTAGACTTGCAATATGTGGGTCACAGGATCGAAACTCGTTGTAGAACATGCTCGATCGACCATTCAGTCTTAGGGGTTTTTATAATGTGACTGTCAAAACCACTATGGGCCTGGCATGGCTAGGTGGTTAGGGCGCTCGACTCGCAATCTGAGGGTCGCGGGTTCGAAGCCCCGTCACACCAAACATGCTCGACCTTTCAGTCGTAGGGGCGTTATAATATGACTGTTAATCCCACTACTCGTTGGTAAGAGTTGGCGGTGGGTGGTGATACCTAGCTACCTTCCCTCTAGTCTTACACTGCTAAATTAGGGACGGCTAGCGCAGATAACCCTCGAGTAGTTTTGTGCGAAATTAAATATATAATCTGACCAACTCTGCATAAATAGTATTCAAATCTCTGAAGTATCCTTTGGAAGACCCAAATCTCTCACCAAATCATTAAGTTCACCCTGTGTGAAAAGTTATGGTTCACCAGACGTTTCAGGTCGAAACAATCCCTATCATAATTTCTATTGACATTAGATTCAGGATCAGATGAAAGTGTTTCCAGTGGAGTAGGTACAGGTCCATGAGTAAAAATAGCAGTCATCTCCGTGGTTTCTAGGCTCATGCCAGACTATTGGCATTCCAAAAGGCAAAGACATTTTCTTACCTTTAGTCCATTGTCTCAACTTTTCGATACAAATGGTGCAAACTATGTGCGGAGCCCAAGATTTGTCTTGATCCCTAAGTTTTATTCCAAAACAAGCGTAATACGATTTCTTGACGAATTCTGTTATGTTTTCCCTTTGTTTCTTTACAACAAATCTAACAGAATATGTTTGGGTCATTTACACAACCTCTTGTTGCCATAACGGCGAATAAATAATATTGAAAAGAAAAAATATAATGTCAAAGTGCACGCACAAACAAATACTATCCAGACAATAAAACCATCGCTGGCCTGTGTTATTTCTAATCTAATATAACGATACAACTAACATCAGTTAAATTTTTCTATGGTAAATTTTTTGTGCCATGCTTTTCTAAACATTTGATAATGTGCCTATACTTCAGAGAATTTTCATCAAGGTTAGTAGTGTTTAATTAGATACTTGCAGCTATTATAATATGGACTGGCTGACATGCCCGTCAAAAAACGACAGAATAGTGTTTTGTAAAACAATTTGGGAGCCCCCACCTTTCCTTCAGCGAGCTTTGTTCGACATCACCATAAATGAAAAACAATCACACTTTGAGAAAATATTTATTTCAATCAATTTACCTGAGGTTCCCTCACAAAAAGAAACTTTTTTTTTTTAAATGAGCGTTGATCGCTAAATGTATCAGAGTGAATTTTGGTCACAAAACGTTTCACAGTGGGCTTTTGTTACTAAATGTTTGAGAGTGGACATTGGTCAAAATATAGACTAGCTACAGAATCGATATTTTGTTGTTTAGAAGTTAGAATTCTCCTTTCAGAAAGATCGTTTTCATTTGTTGGTTTCTAAAATGCAAGTCGTATGACTGTAAGTAACGACTTTTTAAAAACATTTGAAAACCGATTTTATGTATACCAATGCTATATATATTTTTTCTAAGTATGAATCTAAATACTTATAACTATATTTTAATTAAATTTTGAAATGTATGTTTTTAAATGTTAATTTCATATCAATCACATTACTAGAAATAAAGACAGTAAGCTTTGAAATCATTATATTATAAACCAGACTGAGCTAATCATTTACAGAATATATGAACGTTATTTTACTTATATAGGTTAATTTAAGACTATATGGACAACGCTGATTAACCCCAAAAACTATATTGCAGGGGATATCTCTGATGTGAAAATACTGAAAATTTTGTTACAGTGTTACACATGTAGCTTTTAAACAATTAAGTGGTATCATAACATCATTGTAAAAAATCATTCATTACTATAGCTCGTGTGGAGAAGTTAAAATGTTGTTACTTTTTAGCACAAGTAATTTTATGTTATCTGAATTGACATAATTTTATTCTTATTCATTCACTAATGTTTTCAAACTTTGTAAGTTATAGCTATCAAAAGTTATATTTTAGAAATCAGCTTGGTGTTATTTTATTATGTTGTTTATCTATAAATTCATGTTCCTTGAAGAATATAAAAATACTTTGGCTAAGCACTTGCTTGTCTAATAAATAAAATTAGTTATCATTAATCGTTTCCCTTAGTTGACTAAAAAAGCAATTGAGAAACTGTAGTTATAGATACAACGCTTAAGGCCCAAACATTGTCGTAAAAACGCTTATAAACATGTTAAAACAATAAATGTCTAGAGATATAACTTTTGAGTGTATTGTTTACTTTTATTTTTTTTAACTTAATTACGACGTTTTGACCACTTGTATGGCCAACAACAGGTAACTGTCGTCTATCGTGTGAAATAGTAAAGAAATACTGTGCGGGCATTTTGTTCCAATTTAAAAAAAACATTTTGGGTGATACCTGTGGTTTGATTTAAATTTGGTTTTAGTTCACGAATAATTCATGCATTTTTGTATTTTTCTTCTATTAATGTTATTCTCATTACATAATATTTTAAAGTTGTTAATGTTACCTAGATGTTGATTCGTTGTGCTGTGTTCGTGAATGTGTGAAGGGAGATTGTTATGTTCTGTAATCGTAATGCTTATGTTGCGTCCCGTTTCGCCTACGTAAATGCTATCACATCGATCACATTGATACTTGTAGATGCTTCCGTCATTGAAGTTCTCAGAATAAACTTTCCTTATATGCCTTTTGATTTTTGCACAAAAATAACTTTGCTGTTTATATTGTGTGTGTTTTTTTTATGATTGTTTCCAAATGTTTCTGGGTACATAGCCATAATATGGTAAGACACCTATTAATGTGTCTGAGTTTGTGTACTTTGTTTCCTTCTTGGAGTTTATGTCGTTTTCCCTTTCTTTCTTTCTGTTATTTTGTTTTCATATTTGGCTGAGGTTCTAGTGACAATTCATAAAGTTTTAAAGGAACAAAAAGGATCGGACATAATATTTTTACGAAAACATTACCTGACTTAAACCGTGGAAAACCTAGCGTGTGTGGCTAAGGGCAAAGCTAGCTAGCTTTCCAGCGAATCGTATTTTCATCAACTCGTAACTAACTCGCTAATCGTAAACCCTCGATAAGATATCAAGGAAGTTCCAGACTAGAAAGAAAACTTTTTATTGTTTGTAAGTTTGTGAAACTTTTGTTTATAAATCATTGTTTGTAGTAAATATTTGTAATAATTGTTAATGCAAATTGTACTGTTGTGTGTATATTGAAACGTATTTGTGTTAAAAAGAAAATTGTATGTATCAATCTTGTTGGCAAATATCGTAAATTGACCAAAATATCGGCATATATTTAAATTATCAGTTAACTCGGCTTCGGACTATTCGAAATTCTAATACGTAACAATGAGTAGTAAGGGGTGGTTATAGTTGGGAGCTGGAAGGGGCATCCTTGATGGAATAATAAGCAGTAGGAATCAACAATATATCTATATACGTAAATGTTTAAATATAACTCAGCATTGTTAGGTAATCTGAATTTTCCAGAAAACGTTCCCACGCCTCTAAATACAACTAACGTGGCGCGCCAAAAGAGAGTGTCTAATAGTAGTTCGATATAATCAGTGTGCTAAAACTTCGAAAGCTATAACTGTGATTATAATACCGCCCATCAATCGGAAAACTTAAGATATTTGACCAGGAATATTTATAAATTTCAAACATTACAAATCGTCTAACGTCAGTGGATTCTCACTCGAGAATCCTTTACAACTTTGGAGAATAGGTGAGAGTTTCGCAATAAATATCTAACGCTATAAGCTAGGCATGTTTATAAATATAAATGAAATCTAAACAAACGTTGACATTAAAATAAATATATAATAACAAATTCGTTACATCATGTATTCATCCAATCTTTTCTTGAACTTAGTTAAATTTTCTGCTTCCACCATTCTTGAAGGCAGCTCATTTCAAAAGCTAACCACCCTGTTTGAAAAGTAAAACTATCTAAACTGCAGACGACTCCTATGCTGCCAAAGTTTGAATTTAGGTCCCATTGTTTCACTGCTAAACACAAAATAGTTTGATGGATCTATATTATCAATAACCTTAAAAACCTAATCAAATCCCCCCTGACCCTTCTCCTCTTCAGAGAAAACAAGTTTAGATATTTTAAGAATTTAGTGTCTCCTCATAGGACAATTCCATCATCCTAGTGGCTCTTCTCTGAACCTTCTCCAACAATTCAGTGTCCTTCTTGAGGAAGGGAGCCCAAAACTGTACACAGTACAGTAAATGAGGCCTTACAAGTGATCTATATAGTGACACAATAAGGGCCCGGCATGGCCAGGTGGTTAGGGTGCTCGACTCGCAATCTGCGAGTTTGAATCCCCGTCCCAACAAACATGCTTGCCCTTTCAGCTGTGATGGCGTTATAATATGACCGTCATCTCACTATTCGTTGGTAAAAGAGTTGACAGAGGGCTGTCCATGCTCAGGCCGTCTATTTGTTCATAAGTTTTGTTTCGACAGGTGAAACATACATTTATTGCAAAGTGGAACAAGTCTTTCAAAATTTCCAAGCTCAGGTTGTAATGCAACTTG